GGGCCTCTACATTTTTTAGTAATCTCACACTGCTATTTGTACCCTTTCCCTTTAAAGGCACTTTTGGTCATCTTCAGTGTCATGTAACACCCCCCCCCAATAACATTCCCTAACAGGATTTTCTGCTCTCCCTCACGTTTGCCCCCCCCCAATGTAGCTTCTCTGCCAATTTTCGTGGGTTATTAAAACTGCTTGTGAACATTAGTTTTGTTCTGCTCCTCATTATTCTTGCCTTCCCTGCAGATATCAACTGAATAATTTCACGACTGCTGTCCTCCCCCTGGTGTTCCACCCATCACAAAGAGAGAACCAGTATGGCATAGTGGTGTATTTATTTACTTTCCAGGTCATGTTGGGGTGGAAGATACACTAAAGGAGGGGAGAATGATAGAAGTCGCTTTGGGGGAGAAAAGTGGGGAATAAATATCTAAACAAACACAGTTTGTCTTTTCAGACGCTCAGTTAGGATGACTAAAGTTTTAAGGGAAAGGTAAGGTGTTGGATGTTCTTTCAATGCACACCTGTGGATGGTCAATTCTAATATGTACATAGTTAAATAGGAGCATATGAGGGACACAAAAGAGTGGAAAAGGTGGTGGTCACATGCGCAAGATAAAGCGGGGGAGAAGCGAGGCTATTTGCTCCGTAGGAATTTGACCCGCAGTTGCGCGATCACATAGTCCTTGGAAGCTGCAGGCACAGCCCACCACTGCATGATCAGACGCAACCGTGGGTGAGTCGGGATTTGTTTGTTTTTTGCTGTGTGTTTCCGGTGCACTTCAACAAGGGATTGATGATTTGCATCTCCCCACTGGGGGCTCCCTATGCGATGTGCAATTATGCACATACTGAGATGAGGGGGGGAAAACAAGGGCGTGGAGTCGGGATGGCCTGATCAGACCATCCCGACGCCATGGGAGTGCGCTGGAGCAATCAGACACAGGAAAATCCATCCATGACCCGTAGCAACCCGTTTACTACCAGACTTTCCCTGGTGTCTTTTTACTCCTGCAGCAGGGCAAAACGGGTTGCCGACAGGTGCAGGACGTTGGGCAGATGTTTGCGTCTGATCGCGCCCTTTAAATCTGCTCAGCATTCGTGCCTATGGCACGGCTAATTGTGCGTGTGATCATGACCAAAGAGTGACAAGAGTTCACAGGTGTGAAGACCACCTGAAACCATTTCTATGGACAGATCCAACACACTAGACAGGATTGTTCAAGATTCGGCATCAGCCGTGTGTCCCAGCAGACGGAGCGTCCAGCAGAACTGTTACACTGAAGGACTCTAATCTGCTTCAGGGCAGTGGGCTAGTGTGTCTGCCCACAAATCTGATTCTACTGTATGTCACCTCCTCCTCCTCCTTTTTGTAGAGTTCCAGATGGCCTAGATGCAAGGAGGCGGCTGGAAAACAGGAAGAGGCCATCTGCTGTAGAGAAAGCCTGCCAGGCTTGTACGGAGCAAGGTCAAGCACAGCCAAAATGGGAGCCCTCGAATAGCCAAATAAATCTCCTAAATGCATAAAGACGGGAGCCTGAACAAGGAAATTCATCAGCACACTTGTGCGTGCGTCCCCTTGACAGTCACCTAGGCTGCCGATTTCAGGCTGTTGCCAAAACCTTTTGGATACGTAAGCACAGAATATTAAGAGCTCCCCCACCCCACCCCACCCCGCCAATGCCAGATAATTCTCTCTGGAGTCCTTAGTTTGGTACCATGATCTGAACAGAAGTGCATTTCTCTCTTTGGCTGCACTAGCCGGAGCACGCAGTGAAGAACTGGGAGACATCTTCGGCTTTATGAGAGGCAAAGGGACGTCTGAGAGCCAGAAGGAGGTGCCCTCTGCTCTGGTTGTGTTTACACAAAGAACCAATTTAGAAGTAAGGGTGTTCCCCCTACTACTGAGCTCTTTCATGTTATGCCTAGCTTTCTATGTACAGGGAATTTGTTTTATGGAGAAACATCAACCATGCAACCCTGGGGTACGGTGAAATGGTACAGTTGATTTTACTATTTTAGCCGCTATTAGCCTGAAGTCATTGTGCTTTTCCTTACCGTGGAATCCTCAAAAAGTAACTGTCTGCAAGCAAGTACAGCAATCTTCCTATAACCCTAACCCATGTAGTGATTTTTATAGTTAACCTTTCCCAAGCTTCCCCTCCTCCCCCCTGACCTCCTTTCCAAATACCAGCCTTGGTGGGCTAACTTTTCTAGTTCCCGTGGTACAATCTCGGGTAATCCCCTCGCACATCTGGCCAAGGCTTCCCTTAATTCCCAGACTTTAACAGGGAATTCTGCTCAGAGCGGGGAGGTGAAAGAAACACACAGCACAGAATCAGCAGTCAAATCATTGCCCCAAAGGCCTTGCAATAGGGAAAGTCAGAGTGAATGTGAATTTGGACACAAGAGTAGGTGCAAGGTATATGTGAAGATGGAGCCAAGGTACGCTAAGGTGTGGCCAAGCCCTTTAGAATGGGGGAAACAGCTCTCCACCAATACCTGCAGTCCCACAGACGATCTCAATGACATTTTTCATCTATTTCGGAGTCGCTGTGCCTTTGTTAGTTGCACAGGAAAGAGAAACTATGCATCACAGTGATGTCCTCCTCCTCCTCCACCAAGAAGTTCAGGGCAGCAGGTATAGGGTTATTTTACCCTCACAGCATAGATGCCACTCTTTGTGTTTTGTCCAAGACCACTCCGTAAACTTTGAAGTTGAGCAGTGAGTCAAATGTGCGTTGTTGTTACACTTTTTGAGCTCTCAAATACAGCTTTGGACTTTCACCGACAATACAGGTCCAATTTCTAGTAAGTGCAACTACACAGAAGCAGCATATTCTAAATTTCATTCCTGTATTGCTTTTAAGGACTTTCAGGCATCATCTTGCCTAGCAACCGCCATAACCAACTGGGAATGAAAAAGGAAGTCCTCCATAGGAAAGAGGGAGGGGAAGGGGGACTCTCATGGATCAGGAGAAAAGAGGGATATAACTGTTTAAATAAAACATAGTCAACACCAGTAGCTGAAAGTGGACTAAAAAGAAAGGGAGAACAATTAAAATTAGTATAATGGGGGTAAGTCCTCAACTTACAGAGATTGCTACCCAAAACCACCCACTATGACCAGTGATGCCAGCACTCCATCCCAAGCCTTTTGAACTGGTTACCATGCGGATCTCTGCTGTTACACTGGAGGTCTCCCCACTACTGCCAGTATTTATTTATTTATTTATTTTAATTTATAGCCCTCCCTCCCCGCAAGCGGGCTCAGGGCAGCTCACAAATAGGGTGTAAGCCAATACATAAAAAAGATGAAAAGGTAAAGGTTCCCTTGCTCGAAAGCCAGTCGAGTCCGACTCTAGGGTTGCGGTGCTCATCTCCGTTTCAAAGCCGAAGAGCCAGCGCTGTCCGAAGACGTTTCCGTGGTCATGTGGCCGGCATGACTAAACACTAAGGCGCACGGAGCGCTGTTACCTTCCCACTAAAGTGGTACCTATTTATCTACTTGCAATTTCTTGCTTTCGAACTGCTAGGTTGGCAGGAGCTGGAACTAGAGACGGGAGCTCACTCCGTCATGCGGCACACTCGGGTCTCGAACTGCTGAACTACCGACCTTCCACAGCCTGCAGTTCAGCGTCTTAACCACTTGAGCCACCGCAGCTCCTAAAACAGATTAAAACCACATAAAACCATCAATACAATACTACAACATTTACAAAGTGCTCTAGATGTTTCGGAACAATCTTCCAGAAAAGATGGCGTCTTAAAGATGGTACTTCCAATCAGTGATGTCAGTTCCACTTGGCACTGTCGTTCTCTCTTCCCAGGGCCAGTTGGTAATGATGGTAAGGTAGTGGCTGCTCCTACTCAAAAGCCTGGCGAAAGAGCTCCATCTTACAGGCCCTGCGGAAATGCGCAAAGTCCCGCAGGGCCCGGGTCTCTTCCGGGAGTTCATTCCACCAGGTAGGAGCCACCACCGAAAAAGCCCTTGCCCTGGTTGCAGCCAGCCTGTCCTCCTTGGGGCCTGGAATCGCCAGGAGATGTTGCGTCCCTGACTGTAGTGCCCGTAGGGGAACATATGGGGAAAGGCGCTCCCTTAGGTATGTTGGACCCCGGCCATATAGGGCTTTAAAGGTAAGAACCAGCACTTTGAAGCGAATCCGGTACGCTATTGGCAGCCAGTGCAGTGCTTTCGGCACCGGTCAGATGTGGTCCTGGCCAGGGAGACCCATCAACAGCCTGGCCGCAGCATTCTGCACAAGCTGCAGCTTCCGGATTTGCGACAGAGGCAGCTCCATGTAGAGAGCTGTATAACCATTATATAGCTGTCCAAAGGGACTGGAAAGAGCCATGGTGCTCCATAGCTGTTAACACAAATGGAATTTCCATGTTCAGAAGCAGCATACCTCTGATTCTGGAGACGAACAAAAAAGAACAGCCTGGGCCTCCATGGCTTGCTTAAGATGTTCCCATAGACTCTGGGCCACGGCTGGAGATGGGCTTAATTCAGTAATTTTGACCTGCTTTTCTCCCCAATGGGGACCCAAAGTGGCTTACAACATCATTCTGTCCTCCGCTTTATTCTCACAACAACCCTGTGAGGTAGGTTAGGCTGAAGGTGTGTGACTGGCCCAAGGTCACCCAGCAAGCTTCCACTGCAGAGTGAGGATTCGAACCCAGGTCTCCCAGATCCTAGTCTGGTACTCTACCCATCACAACGTGTTGCTAAATGTATGATCCAACAAGGAATTGCAAAAAGATAAGAAACATTCCATTATTTGACACACACCCCCAAGTACAACGTGTTGCTAAATGTGTGTTACAGAGCGAACAGCCAAGAGAGCCTGCCTTAAACTGTCTACCAGTTTGGTGATCCCTTTTCCCAAGTGCCATTCTGTTCTCCAAAAAGAGAACTAAGCAAAGAGCCTTGAAAATGTGTGGCTGGTTTTGGAGCCAACCAAACGCGAACCCTCAAGAGGCTCCCTGTAATATTGTCCTACCTCGCGTGTTGGTGGCCATGTCTGCCACTTTCTGGAAGGCATCCAGGAAGGCTACTGCAGCCAGCACTGTAGTCCTAGAACAAAAAAGAAACATGGGCATAAGAAACATGGCAGTGAAACTCTCCAGACTGGGCAGGCCTAAGATGTTTTGCCTCCACCAACTGGCTGCACAGTACAACCAGAGAAGAGCACCCTGGCTGTCTTGCAGAGGATCCTGGGATACAACCCTCAGATTGGGCCCAGCTTCACTGGCACCATTTAAGTGACTGGTATTTCAGCCTAAACAGTCCTGCAAACACTAGTGCCTTCTTTGGTATTCAGTTCTGAGAAAGATGTCCCTCATTTGCTTTTAAAACTTGAAGGACATCTAGATTCTCTCTCAACAAACTTCTAAACTAATACTGTAAAGTAGTTGTTTTGTTTGGGGGAAGCCTGGGATTCCTCAGGAACTTCTAAAGAGTTCCCAAATGCGAAGGCTGGTAGTGGCAGAGGGGGGGGGTCCTTGAAAGACGGCTTTCACCTTCACAGGGTTGCCAGGTACCTCCTGGCCACTGGCGGGGGATGGGAGGGGAGGGTTGCCTGTTCCAGACTGAGAAACTCCTGGTTATATCGGGATGGAGCCTGGGGAGGACAGGGACCTCAGTGGGGTACAATGACATAGACTCCACCTCCAAAGCATCCATTTTCTCCAGGGGAACTGATCTCTGTGGTCTGGAGATGAGGTGTACTTCTGGGGACTCCCCAAGTCCCATCTGGAGGCCGGCATCCCTATCCCCTCAGGACAAAGCTTTTTCCTTCAGAACAGCCAGGGGAGCACTGGCACATACTCTGTAGGCTCAGGAAGGTGAAGGAGGGAGTGTGCACCCTAGAACTCAAAACAGCATCTGTGGCAATACCCCAAATGGCCCCACTGGTGGACCTCCTGATGGCACCTGGTATTTTTGGTTACTGTGTGACAGAGTGTTGGACTGGATGGGCCACTGGCCTGATCCAACACTGGCTTCTCTTATGATGTTCTTAGATGTGAAAGGCTTCCTGAAAATGGGAAACGTCAAAACAGGTTCCAAGAGGCTACGTAGCTGTCAGCTAGCTGCCATTGTCTCTGGTGTTACCTGCTTAACACTTCTTGTAACCTTCCCCCCTCCCCTGGTTCTTTTGCTTCATTATGCTTATTCTGTACTTTGCGGAACTGGCCAAGGTCATGCAGCTGGTGGTGGGAGTCGGTGCTTCGCTCGGCTTGTTATGGGTATCTAGCCTGTGAACTGAACCTGTGTTGATTGTGTAGAACTGTTATGTTCCTATGAAATGGGCGCGC